CAGAGCAGGTGAAGGAACGGGGGGGTTTTTAGTCAGTAAGAGCCTGACACTCCCTCACGCCCGGCCCTGGGCGGGAGAAGTCATTGGATGATTTCTCCTTGACAAAAAAAAACATAGGTTTTGTTTACTTAACGGTAGGCTTCTAGCTCCACATGATCCACTTAACTGTTATTGAGTATTTAGCTTTTTGACGGTCATCGCGTTTTTCGTCTCGTATACTGTAGTTACATGTATATAGAAAGAGCTCTAGTTTCAACACGAAACTAATCGAGTAAGCTCGAAAAATATTTATCACATATTTTCAAAGAAATCACTCATACATTTCACTAAGAGTCTTCATTCTAAAAGTAAAGTGTAAAATACTAGTTTGTTGCCAGTGAAAACCCTGCCTTAGACTTTGTCACGACCAGACGAGGCAGTGGCTAGTAAGTTGATACCTTAATTTTCTTTTTCCTGGCAGACTTAATTAATTTAACGTTTGTTACTGGTAAGCTCGGAAGCTTAGGTGAAAAATTTGCTGTTTTGTTCTTGAAAATGCTTCGTTAAGATTTTTGGCCCTAGAAAGACTTTGTTTAATAATTTACTACTGGTTCACCTCGGCTTCGCTTAGGTTCTGAGTGCCTGATGTTCCCGTTGAATGTATTAAATATCTTTTATAATTGTAATGCTTGAGCTACTAACTATAACGAATACAACTAAACAGAATCATCCAATTTGGTACACAAGTTTTTGCGTTCTTTTTTTCGTACGGCTTTAACCTTTCGTATGTCTTAAACGTGGATCCACGCGAGACACAATGTATTTTCTATTGTGTCTTATAAACCGACATTCAATGGGTTAAACGCGTTACTGATACAAAATTTCCGTCCCTGTTTTTCATTTCGTGTCTGTGGTAAGTTATAAAAACGTAGTAGTAGTTTTGAAAGAGTACCTATATTTATAAGTGTTTCCAAAGATTTAAAAGAGTTTTTGAAATAGTATTAAATATACTCTTTCAAAACTACAGAAAGGGACATATCTCTCAAATTTTAGGAGCATTAGGATTGGACTATTTCGATCCGTGATGTAAACATTATTTTACCTGTCGCCATAAAGGTATATGGCAACAAAAGAGACCTATAAGATATATAATAAGTAAGCATTAAATGACAAAAACCTAATCCATGGCCTCCCCAATCCCTCACCAATCCTTGAATCTCTAAAACCCCTTATCCGCGTAATGGTGGCAACGCATTTGCTGCTTCAACTCCTCTGCTGCTGCTGGTGTTCAAAGGCGATGCCAATTGCTTACTATCAGGTAATTCGTCGGTTCGTTTAGCCGGCGAGAGAATCACATAAAAAAGCAGCGAAATACCTATAGTCAGTGTATCTACCAGGTATATTAGCAGCGATTTATTTATACCACACGTTTCCCAGAGCCAACCCTTCAATTCACTTCAGTTCGCTAATGTGTCCCCACGACCGCCATCCGACGTCACCGTCACCTGTCAACCTAATCACCCCAACCCCTTGCACCTTTGTACTCAATGCCCCCCTCCCCGTTGCCATGGCAACCGTGCTATTTACATCGTTACTTCATTTCCCCGTCTATTGTCTTCGTAAACAATCTTTTGTAGTCGCCATTTTGAATTTAAATGCATTTAAACGAATGAGTTGTTGGATTTTTTTTTCGTGAACACAATTAAAATGTAGCTGTAGATTTTTCAAGAGATTAAATATTTTATGTATGACTTAGTGAGAGGCCTTGTTAATATGCACATCTATACTAATATTTTAAAGAGGAAAACTTTGTTTGTTTGCTTGTAACTAATAGACTCAAAAACTGCTGGACCGATTTTAAAAATTCTTTTCCTAAATTTTATTTAGGAAATTACATATTTATGTACATGGTTTGGGCACAAGGTGTTCGGTTTGTTCGGTACCATACAAATTCTTATAGATATGTTATTACAAAAAAAGTTTCAACCATTAATTTTTTCGACGAAAATTTACCTGAGGCACCTTACTGCATCCAGCATGAGACCATTTGGTCAACGAAACATTCATAAACATGATTCAATTATATTTTCAAATCCTACCCACGTGAAGTTTTTGTCAGACACGGACGGATGATTTAATAGTGACTAGCAAAAACGTCTCTTCAATTTTTAGTTATATAAGTACGTTATTAATATTTATTATATCACATACTAGCTACTAGCGGGTGAAACCGCGCGAGAGAACCTAGTACTCTCACGCGGTTTCGCCCGCTGCTCGCCTCCATTTAATCGTAGCGTGATATTTTATAGCCTATAGCACTCACGAATATTGTAGCTATCTATCAGTGAAAGAATTTTGGCAATCCAACCAGTGGTTCCAAAGATTACCCCCTACATACAAACTAAAAAAATATACTTTACCTCTTTATAATATTAGTATAGACTACTTAGACTTAGACGTCATGGAGTTCCAAAGGTTAAGGCACCAGCTTGAGGTTGCTTGAGGATTGTTCAAAGGCTAGCTAGTACCATTGTTACTCTTTCCGAGTCATACGTACTTTATAAGTTCATTTTAGACACCACAGACATATGTGAAGGAAAACATCGTGAAGAAACGGTTTTCCTTTGTGGGAGGAAATCATCAAATGACTTCTCTTGCCCAAGGGTAGGCGAGAAGGAGTTTCAGACTGTTTTTCACTAAAACTTCCAGCTCTTTTTCCTGATTTAGGCAGAGGCCGCGATAACTTACCAAGCTTGACCTGCTACCCCGGCACTTACACAACTTACAAACTCAAGTTTCTGCCAGATTCGCTAGTACCATGAATAAAAGTGTGGGAGAGCCAAGCTTCGGCACGAATGAGTCGACTCGACCGAAGTGATACCACGGCCTCACAGAATACCGACGTGAAACAACCACAGCGTTGTGTTTCGCCGTGTGAGTGATGTTACCGGAGGCCCAATCCTTCCCCTCCCCCGATCCCTCCCAATACCTAATTCCTAAAACCCTAATCCCTAAAAGGTCGGCAACGCACTCGTAACACCTCCGTTGCGGGTGTCCATGGGATGGGCGGCGCCGATTACGTACCATGAGGTAATCCGTCTGCTTGTTTGCCGATATATTCAATAAAAAAAAACACTCAGATCGTTTCAAAAGTTTTTACGTGAAAAATTATCAAACATCTTTCCTTACAAGCTTTCGCGTACATTAAATAGAATACTATAAATTTACTTACTACATATTTACTCCTATAGCAATCATAGGAAATACCAACCTAATCTAGCTCAATTATTTATTTATTTATTTAAACTTCATGCACAATGGGTACATAGGCGAACAAACAATTTATATTGTTACTGATTTTTTTTTACAATACATCAGAGAAAATAATAATAAAAATCAGAATACCTATTGGATTACAAAAATATTACTTATTCTCGATGTTTAAATAATAATTATTTAGATTCTACGATTGTATTTATATCTTCAAGTAAGTTTCCATTTTACCAAAAGATGACTCAATTAAGTAAAAAATCGACTTGCACCCAAAAAAACAGCTTTTAGTGCCCTTTTACACGCTCCAATTGCCCGATGGTGATTGCCGGATAACCAATGAAAAAAGTATGTAAAAACGCATCGATACATGTGAAAGTTAACGTAGGTCAGCCGGGGTTGCGGGGTAAGCGCAATGAGGCACCGCGACCTCGGCCCAGAGCAGGAGAAGAAACAGGGGGGTTTTTAATCAGTAAGAGTCTGACACTCCCACCCGCCTTACCCTTGGCGGGAGAAGTAATTTGATGATTTTCCCCTCACAGAAAAAACGTAAACCGTGGCTTCCCTCGCGCTGGCTGAGACGGCGCTGGGGAGTGTCAGGTTCATACTAACCCACCCTGTTCCTTCTTCTGGACCAAGGTTCCAACCTAAGTGGGTCCCATCTGTGGTAGTCTGATAGATCTTTGAGGCGCCAAAAGAATCTATGAGTTTAGATGAAATGTTTTTCTAACTCATAAGACGGCAAACGAGCAGACGGATTATCTAATGGTAAGCAATCAGCGCCGTCCATAGACAGCCGCAGCAAAGGAGGAGTTACGAGTGCTTTGCCGTCCTTTTGGGGATTTGGATATTTTGGAATTGGGGTAGGGGAAGAATTGGGCCTCCGGTAACCTCACTCACACGGCGAAACAAACGCTTTTGTCAGGACTCTTACTGACTAAAACCCTCCCGTCATTCTCCTGCTCTGGGCCGAGGCCGCAGTGACTCATTGGGTGAAACAAACGCTGTGATTGTTTCACGCAGTTTTCTGAGATGCCGTGGTATCACTCCGGTCGAGCCGACCCATTCGCGCCGAAGCTTAGCTCTCCCACACTTATATTAATATAATATGTTTCAATTTATTTCATACTTCAAGGCTTATGATCGAACCGGCAAAGATTTAGATTTAGGTATCCGGTACCGGTTAACCTGAAACCGGAGAGTGTAAAATAAACCTAAGGTTCTTTGACATTGATTACATTTTTCCTTAAACCCAACTATAACCATGACCTAAGATATTTCGATGTCAATAAAATGTTGCTTCGTTAACAGATGACCCATCCAATACTTAACCGCGTTATTGGTTGCTTAACCTTATGTTTTTACAAAGGAATTTCTAGCTAACGAGCGCTTAAAATATACATTATTTATGTATGCAAATATGATTACAGATACATAAGTTCCGTAAGTGAATCATATGGATTTTTCTATGTATTTCCTTCTTTTGATTGAAGAATATAAATTTTTACTTATAAATACTCATAAAATATAACTTTGTACGCACACTGCATTTAATTGTACATAATTCCATAACAGTTTTGATGATCATTGCCAACAGGTTTGCGTGTGCGCACCCTCACTTAACGACAAACCAATCAACTTATACCTGTCTCTCTCACACGACCTCTAAAAATCTTCCATCTCTTTCTCCTGGCTATCGTAAACTTGACCTCTAAGATTATTGCTATGATTTTCTTTTGTCATTCTTACAGATACCGCCGCGGATGGCGCACGTCGCCAATCGTTATAAAAAAACATTTTTTTGTGTGCAGACATACAAATAGTCGTTTTTTATATAAAGTCTGGGAAAATTCCTTTTAAAATGGTAAGGCTTGTGATAAAAAATATAGTGTTTGTGTCATTAATAACTGTGCAATTATGTTTGTATGTGTATTTTAATTAATACGTGTATGTAGGAAGTTTTTACTGAGTGATCAAGTCGAATGCCACTGTTGTGGCCAAAATGGTGGTGGACCGGTTTATTGAGGTAGCATTTTTATTATTTAATTCGGCCAAGTAATCGAAGACTTTATGCATTTAATTTTTGCACAATTCCGGCTTTGAAGATGGAGGGTGATACATCTCACAACAATGACGTTTTCAATTTAACATTTCTGCTTTATGAAACGTCTAATGCTTATAAAAATTGCATTTGTAATAGACAAAGAAAGACATTATATCCTAAAAGGTTTGACGTCATAAGTTAACTGAATTTAAAACAATATCTATTTGAATTTAGAAGAGTTTGTTTCACGTTCAAAAAACGGTAAACTGGCATAACAGTGCACTGGCCAGTAGCCTAGATATTTAAACGAGGAACGAAATAATCATCTTTGCATTATTTTTGGAAAAGGAACTTTTGCTATCTAGAATTTTCTATACTTTTAAACTTTTAAAAGAACTACTTACTAGTCAGCCATAGGCCTGTTACAACAACCTTCTTAACAGTATCCGTAAAGACCAATTACGTTCTAAGTTCAAAATTTTTGGTACATATTGACTACCCAGACATTGTAAACAGATCCTAAGTCTTGTGGACTCTAAAGCAATTACACTAAGACTTTTAATTCAGATATATGGATATATGAACTATTTACTGGATTATGCAATTTTTAATTCAGATTCTATTAAAACGTTTGTTTCGAAGGTATATATTTGTCTAAAGATACCCTTAGTAATATGTTAGCAACTTCATCAATGTCACTTGTATACCGATAATCTATATCTGTGCCAGATTTCATTACAATCGGCTCAGAAGTTTACGCGCATATGCTTACAAACTTTCACATTTATGTTAATCAAAGGAGGATTAATTCACCTTTGCCTTCGTTTCTTAGAATAAGATCTACAATAACATATTATTCTTACAATACAGAACAATATTTCGAAATAAAGCAAACCAGATTGAGTTAATATGTTTTCACAATAACATTATTAAGTGGATCGCGTCATCCACACAAAAAACAGATAAGGAACGTCATTGACCAATCTTAATTAGAACTATGACCACAAGATATTTAAATTATAATAAGCGGAGATCATTCTGGATATCAATTTCAAGATGGTAGCTTACTTTAAGGAAATTATTTGGAATATCTGAATCCTACTATCCTATCCTTCTTCATTCTAGGTACTAATATTATAAACTAGCAGCTCGTCCCTGCTTCGCACGGGTCTAATCGTCTCGCTTACGATGAAAGGATCCCTATTAACCAACTCTACCCTCTACTTTTCTAAAATTTTCTTTCATAAGAACCTTCTCCTGACAATAACACACATAACAAAAAAAGAATCAGTAGAATTGGTCCAGGCGTTATGGAGTTATGCGCTTACCAACATATTTTGCGATGTGATTTCAAACTTATAATTAGAAATTATAAGTCCAGGTTTCCTCACGATGTTTACCTTCACCGTATGTCAGTGGTGTCTAAATAATCATAGAAAGTACATATAACTTGGAAAGAGTAACATTGGTACTTGCTAGGTTTTGAATCCACACCCTCATGTATCAGAAGCGGGCTTCTTAACCTTCGGGCCACCACGACCTGAGAACGATGCTACTTTTATATTAAAAAAAAGAAATCAGCATACGAGTAACCTAAGTTTGCCCTTTCTAATAGACTTTAAACTTTAATCCTTCAATTTAAAGTCTCAAATCTGATGGTTGAGAAAGGATAAGTTGAAGTGCTGTCTAGAATGTAGAAACAAATAATAAAATACCATGTTGGCAGTAACATTTTATATGGACTTATCGTTGTAAGGATTAGGGAAAAGGTCTTAATTCCGTATTTACGACGCACCACCGATTTATTTATAGAGGGCCACTTAGAATTGCTTCGGTTTTCGGGTCAAGATTCTCGATATTTCGGTCGAGGGGTAGTGTATGGTGAACTATTCGAATAGCTGGTATATTAGAACCTTATTATTCGTTGCTTCATTAAGGTTATATGACTATAGTTGTGTATTCAACTTCCTTTTTAATCATTAATTGTTGAAAAAATCCGTAAATGTAGATTTGTTGAAAGCAACATACTTTTGCTTTCAACAAATCTACATTTATTTTAAACTGCATTTTTTAAACGCGTCTGTTTATATTTTTTTTTAAACTCGCTATACGGATTTTTTCAACAATTAATGATTAAAAAAGACTATACATAGGTACTTGTGCTTCACAACTACATACACTATAATTTTTAATATTTTATAAGAAGAAAAATACATTTTTAAATATAAGTATAAAAAATAATATTCCGAAATATAAAAGTAGGAGCCATCCGGCAGCGGGAGCAAAGTCTCTCACCTACTCATTTCACGTGCCGTTTCAAGGAGAACCTTGATCCATCCACCTAACGTCAGCTTATTTTTATTTCTCTGGTCTTCCACTAACACCAATCACTCGGCACAGAGCAGGAGAAGGAACAGGGGGGTTTTTAGTCAGTAAGAGTCTGACACTCCCTCCCGCCCGACCCTGGGCGGCAGAAGTAATTTGATGATTTTCCCCTCACAAAAAAAAATTCAAGTATAATTCCCGGTCAGGACTATTGCGGATAATGAAAACAAGGGATAAGGCTATGGGTGTGGGTTATTATGAACTGGTATGATAGAAACTATGGAAGGACTATGGCACCTGCCGAAACAATGTAATTTATACACGTAAAAATGGCAGGTGGACACTCGCCAACTCACCGACCGAAACCCCGGGAAACGTTGCTAGTACTAGCAACAGAGGGACAACGGAAATTATTATTATTATTATTTTAGTATTATAAAAACGATGTCAATGCGAATGCGATCTTTGCCTTCTACACGTCGTCATTGCATGTGGTTGTGACACATAGACAATCGTGTGTCATTTAAAATGACCAGCAGGTCACCGTACCGTATTCTGTCAAACTACTTTATTCAATTTTAAACTTTAATTTTTAGATATTAAGTCGAAAATTCAATGATTAAATTTGACTGATTGATGTAGGTTATTTTACTAGCATTGACAGTCAATTAGGTTAGGAAGTCTGAGTAAGGTTTATTAGGTGTCTGCACCTACCTGTACTCTGTTCAAAGGTCATTTAAAAAACCCTTTTTTCAACGAATTCCATATAAATTATCAAGTCAAAAATAAAACTAAATACTTATTCGCATTACATCGAGGTCTAAAAATTAAATTAATGAAGGAGACATTTTTTAATGTTCCATAAAGATTTTTGGGATGTGTGGCGTGCAATTGGGGAGGCCTATGTCCAGCAGTGGACGACAACAGGCTGATGATGATGATGATGATGATGATGACAGATTTATTTGAAAAATGAAAATCATTTTAAAAAAATCCTCTTTGATATTTTTTGAAAAATTTGCATGATTTTTAGATTTGAAAGTGTCTATGGAAAACCATGCCACGTAAAAGCTCTTAAATCAATAATAGTACAAAATTTAAAAAATAAGCAATAAGGTTGACATATTACATATTTTAAATACCTAAACTTAATAATTAGATAAGTAACTTATTTTATAATAAATTTTCTTCAAGACGTCAACGTCTGAGAGAGAAGCAATGTCCTCGTTAAAACATAAAACAGTTTAAAACACTTAACTCACCAAAACAATGATTCAACTATTTCAAGTACGCACAGTTGTTAGCAGATCTACCTAAACTTTTCAAACAACTTTTTTCTTGCATTTTCAACTTCACATCAAAACGGTAAAGTTGAAAATTAAAAAAGCATAACAGAAAAGTGTGAATCAACACAACACTATCCCAAAAATGAATGCTTTTTATCAATAATTTAGTTAATTTATAGTTTATTTTTTGTTATTTATAAAGCTAAGTTTAATTTGTCCTTTTTCACGTCGCATTAGGTATATGATTTTTATATCTTCGGGGAGTGGGAGGAAGTGTCAGAGTCTTACTGAAAAAAAACTATCTCGTTCTATGTCCTGCTCCGGATTGGATCGCCGTAAATTATGGCGGTATACTCCAACGAATTATATGTATAGGTAAAAAGATTAAGTGATTAAGTGCGAGAAAGCCATGGCCTCACAGAAAACCGGCGAGAAACAACCGCAGCGTTGTGTTTCGCCGTGTGAGGGAGGTTACCGGAGGCCCGATCCTTCCCCACCCCAATCCCTCCTCAATCCCTAAATCTCTTAATCCCTAATGCCCAAAAGGTCGGCAACGCACTCGTAACTCCTCTGTTGGGCTGATTACTTACCATCAGGTAATCCATCTGCTCGTTTGCCGACATAAAAAAAACTATAGCTCGTTGCACCATGCAAAAATGATAATAAACCCTCCACACAGCACCTTAACTACTTCGCAATAAGAGTTAATTTCGCATATCAAAATAAGAACAAAGAAACACGTGGAGTCGCTCTCATTAATCAAATAACTTTGTGGTATTGTATGACAACTACACATAAATAATTACTTATAATCGTTACGAACCTAGATTACCATCGGATTCTCAGAATTGTTATTTTCCTTTAACAGTAAAACAGAATAATAACAGTAAGTATATTTAATTGTTATTAAACTTTTAATTTAATATTTAGGATGATTTTGATATCACTGTCGCTACATATCGCTTTCTATGTCCCTTTATCCCTATATATGCTTAAATATTTAGCATACATAGAGATACTAACTTCGCAATGGATTTTGGAGCGGTTTTTTAATTAACAATGAACCAATGAATTTATTTTTGTAAAACGGCACTTTTACACGTAAATTGTATGTAAAATTCTATGTAGATGAAGGCATTTCCTATCTGACTACTCTGAGAAGAATTAACGAAACATGCACACACAACAAATAGATAGAATGACTGAAGA